AACATCCAATGTAATACTATAAGAAAATGCCTGACGGTGCTGGGAAACTAGGGGGGGGAGGGGGAGGGGATTAACAGTAGCAAATATCTGTCTGGGGCTGGGAAAACACCTCTTATCAACAGGGTGTCTGAATGAAACGTAATTGTACATACACCTAACCCTTAACTGTACCCCACAAAACTATAATAAAAATACTGATTAATTATTAAAAAAAAAATAAAAAAGTCTGAAAATAAAGATAGGGTGACATTCAATATTAGAATGACTTAGAATGTAAAGTAGTGTGATGGTGACTTTAAAAACACACTGAAAAACCAAAGGAATGCAACATTTAAAAGTAGAAGACAGATATTAAAATGCATTACACAGCCAGGCTCGGTTGGCTCAGCCTGTAATCCTGCGCCTTTGGGAGGCTGAGGTGAGTGGATTGCCTGAGCCTGCGGGTTCGAGACCCGCCTGGGCAGCGAGACCTCATCTCTACAATAAATCAAAAAATCAGCCGGGTGTGGTAGCGCATGCCTGTAGTTCCAGCTACTCAAAAGGCTGAGGCATAAGGATCACCGGAGCCCGGCAGGTCGAGGCTGCGGTGGCTGGGAGCAGTCACTTCACTCCAGTCTGGGCGACAGAGTGAGACTCCAACTCAAAAAAAAAAAAAGAGGGAAAACTCTGCAATATTGGAAGAAGTGTTTTTTATAGCTCTTGAATATCACAAGTCAAAAACTTGTTAAAAGAATCTTCTTAGTTGGGCTCGGTGGCTCAGCCTGTAATCCCACACTTTGGGAGGCTGAGGTGAGTGGATTGCCTGAGCCCAAGGGTTCGAGACCCGCCTGGGCAACTTGATGAGACCTCATCTCTACAATAAATCAAAAAATTAGCCAGGCATGGTAGCACACAGCTGTAGTTCCAGCTACTTGGAAGGCTGAGGCAGAAGAATCGCCGGAGCCCAGCAGGTCGAGGCTGTGGTGGCCGGGAGTGTGCCACTGCACTCCAGTCTGAGTGAGAGTGAGACTCCAATTCAAAAAAAAAAAAGTGTCAGAGACCAGCTCCGACCAAGGGGGGTTGGGCCTGAATCAGGGAATCAGGAAACGGTGAAAAAGAAACAACTCTGAGGCAGTTCTTCTGGGCCAGGTCTGGCCAAGACCATTCCAACTTTTATTCAAATTCTCTCCAGCTTATATACCATTTTCTATAACCTCCGGCAGAGAAAAATCATCTGCCGGGGGCTTACAAATCTCATGATGCATAACGTACTTCAAAGAATTGTACATTAAGGTAACAAATGCTTAATTCTTACATTAGTTTCACAAACTGTTCCCCCAAATCATTCAATATATAACCTTAAACTTCAAGGCTATTATTCTTATTATTAATGTATGACCTTACATTTTCTATTAACCTTTCCATGATCTCATAAATCATATTCTCATACTATTTCTTAAATCCTAATCCAAAATCACCCAACTATAACTATAACTCATCATTCTAACTATTCTCAACACAAACCAATTATATACTTGTCTATTAATTATATTAATGCTACCTTCTTATCCTAAAAATATACTAAAACAATTTTATAAACTTATGATCATATCCTTAAACTTTAACTATTTTATTATAAATCTTTATCACTACAAACTACACATTTATTCTCTTCTAATGTTAAAACATCTTAAACTTGTCAAACTATTTTTAAAACCTATTTTCTTACAAGCTTGCGCATGTCTATTGTGTAAAAGATCCCATGGCCATAATTACTTGCCAACCAGTCTGGCTTGAGGCAGAAACTGTGTGTAATGAGGGAGTTTCGGTATGTAGCCTGTTCTTCTATATCAATACACCTAGCTAAAAACAAAGCTGTAATTAAAAAGCTTTCAGTACACTAACCAACAGTCTAGAGTTAGCTTCTCAAAATAACTTCTGGAAAAAAGAAACCTAGCTTCTCAAAGAAAGACTTAAATATTTTTAAGTATTATTCTCACTATTAAATCTTTTATATATTTTAACCATGTTCAATTAACTCAAGGTTTTATTTGAAGTTTTGATTAACAGATAAAAAATCTTTTTATGATTTTGAGCATGCTTTCTTAAAGAAACAAGAGTCCGTCAAACAGGATCCATGGGGCCTTGCCTCCAGCATGGCCGCTATATGCTAGAGCCTTTCTCTTAGCCAGCATATTTTCCATGGGGCTTTTGTCTCCGTCATGGTCTCTATATGCCAAAGTTCTCCTAGCCAGCGTTTTTCCTATTTTCAGGTTCTCCGTGATTTGTTTCTTCAAGATTTGCAGCCCCCAACAAAAAAGTATCTTATTAGGCAGGACCATCACAAGAAGAGAAGTTTTGCAAGTACTAAAAATATGACATTCCAGTAAGAAAAATGGATAGTACTTTCCCTGTGATACATTTACCTAAGAAGCAGCCATTTCTTCGACTTCCTCTTTCTTCTCTGGGATTTTTTCTCAGGTGAGATTATCTGGACAACTCACGCCTACCATGGCCTTTTTGAAATTTTAAATAATTTTTTGAAGTCTAGGGACAGGAATATCATGGGGAAAATACCGAGACACAGGCCTACACTTCTACTACAGTGTGTCTCAATATCTGGGCCCTGGTCCCGAGAATCCTTGTGACTATTGTTATCTTCCTTGTTCTGGTGTTGGTCATCTTAATGTTGCTTTCCTTTTTTTTTTGAGTTGGAGTCTTACTCTGTTGCCCAAGTTGGAGAGCAGTGTCTATAATGACAGGATAATTTTTCTTTTATGTATTATAAAAATGAGGTCTCACCAAGATGTGGAGGCTGATCTCAAAGCCCTGAACTCAGGCAATCCTCTCACTTTGGCCTCTCAAGGTGCTGGGATTATAGACTTGAGCCACTGCACCTGATCTCCTTAGAGTTTCTATAGACTAAGGCAAAACTGAGGCAACGATCTGTCCATGGTGGGTCCCCATATACTCCTCCTTTCATTACCTGCAACCTTCCATGGACACTTTATACAGCAGTTTGTACTAACACAATTTTTTCTTTTTTTTTTTGAGTCGTAGTCTCACTCTTTCACCCAAGCTGGAGGGCAGTGGCATGCTCACAGCCATTGCAGCCTCGATCTGCTGGGCTCAGATGATCCTTCCACTTCAGCCTTCCAAGTAGCTGGAATTACAGGCATGGGCTACCACACCCAGGTAATTTCTTGATTTATTGTACAGATAAGGTCTGGCCAACGAGCCCAGGTGAGTTGAACCTGTGGGCTCAGCAATCCTCTTGCCTCGATCTCCCAATGTTCTGGGATTACAGGCTGAGCCACTGAGACTGGCCAATTGATTTTAAATGCTAATTTTTTGGTAAAAGTGTCACAGTGTTGTTAATCTATTAAAATTTATTGCATTTCATAGAGCATTTATTACACATCAAGCAATCTTTTGTGTTTGTTCACTTTGCTGGAATGTCAAAAAATACAAAAATAAAAGTAAAAACTACCTCTAGGCTCATAAACCCTCCCAAGTTTCCACTAAACAAGCTGGCCCAGTTGAGTCAATAAAAATCAACTGATGATTATACAAAGTTAAAAGAACAACACCAAAGTTAATCAATGATATTTTTTAGTTGTGAAGAAAAGTAAAATATACTAAATACACTCATTGTGAATTACATTTTCCTAGTTCTTTCAAACACCAATTACATTTTCAAAAATTCTTGAAATTTGTAAGTAGGATAAATTATCACTTTATAGTATAGACTTGCAAGGCAAATCTAAAAGAGGATGTCCATAGGAAGATTCTGAACTAGAAGCCACTAGATATTAGTGGAATAAATTGAATGTGAAGCAGATAAAACCGATTTATTTTCAGATTTTAAATTACTTCTTTTGTTCCCACAATGTCTTTTTCAATGTAGGCATACATTCACACACAAAAACTCAATTTACTTTTCTTTAGCTTTCATATTCATAGCATTAGTGATAATTTTGAATATTTCACTCAGTGTAAATAATATATACAAGTCTTTTTTTTTTTTGTTTTTGATTGTTTGTTTGAGTTAGAGTCTCACTCTGTTGCCCAGACTGGAGTGCAGTGGC